GTCACATCCAGTCGTTTTCCATCCGTTCATCCCTCTGTCATTCTCTGTGTATATATATAAACATACATTTCTTAAGTAAGTGTGTTATGTATTTTGCCAGTCGAACTCGATGAGAGTGTGAGTGCGTGCGTGAGTGTCCATTTTATGAATAATTCTTCTAAGTTTAACGAGAGCGAAAGAAAACGGACGAACGACGACCCATGCAGCTTTTTTTGTTTCTTTATGGCTATGGTACGTTACGAGGGTCGAGAGCTGGGAGGTTATGTTCTCTAATAATCTCCCATGGACTTCACCCATATGATAAGCAATTGTGTTTACGGTCGAGAAGTGCAACGCAGCTTCTTCTTCCGCATTGTGCCTGCGTCGTCGTTCGTTTGACTTCTTAGAAATGCAGCACTGTGTTCATCGTCGAATGCGACACTTTATAGCGATATATGATATTTTTCTACGAATTAAACATATTTTTCAAGTTATCCACGCTCTTTCTTCTGTCACACCCTCGATTTCCCACAATGGAAGTTTGTCCTTCGTGCGCTACGTTCACGTCCAGACTCGTGTGAGGCAACGGCTGGTTCTTTGCTTGAATTTGCAAGCGCTTTTTAATGTCTCTTGGATATCGTGACTCTTGTTTTTTTTCTTTTTCAGTAAATGTGACTAAAATTTGTATACAAATTTTGTAAGACTTTGGTAAAGATACAAATTAGAATTGCGACGTTTAAAGAATGAAAATTCATAAGATTGCTTACCAATAGCAATTATTTCTTCCGAGATCTGGGGACTTATCACGGTTGTTTGATCAGGCGAAAATGACGACAGTGAGGGCTCAATCACACTTGTCAAACGTGAACGTCAACTGTCGACCAATGGTGGAGCGCGTACGTAGGAATTTACCTTGTGTTATTGGTTGAGCGTTGCGTCCAAAGGCCTGTGACGACGAGTGTGACTGGGCTCTGAGTAACTCGCAGAATTACGATCCTTCTCAACTTGCGAAAAGACGAGATTGGTCGCGTGAGTCGACTCGACATGGAGTTTCATGTCGAAAAACATCGTGCGCATGCGCAAGCGTGATGTGCCCGAAAATCTAGCCCACATCGGAGTGAATAGCGAAAAAGGAAGTTATCGGAATAAAATGTTATTTTTCCACAAAGAATAATTTAGCCATCGTAATGTATTTGCAAAATCGATAAGGTATAATGCTCAGAATTCCACGAACACTGAGCGATGCCTCAGACCCATTCAGTATAACGGAAAACTGATTCCGCAGCTTTAATAGGTAATTAGCACTATTTGAATTTTCGTAAAGTGTAAATTTACAATAAAAAAATGAAAAATACAAATATAACAAATACGCCTTGATTCCTTTAAAACTTATAAAAGATTTACGGAAATAAGTTTTGTTATATAAGACAGCTGTCAGCAACGGCAAGTAGCCTTCGTGAAAATGTGAGATCCCTATGCCGGAAGTATCCAGTTATTTCAAGTTTTCATTGATTTCATACGATTACGAAAAAAAGTGATTATATTCCTTCAAGAACCGTAATAAGCCCCCTGAGCTAATTCGCTGTTGATAATTTTATTCTTTTTATTTATTAATGACGCTACGATGATTCGCCGTAGGGCGCAACAGGCGAATTCGTACCGGTTTGCTTCAAAGGTTCTCTTGGCTCCATTCGAGTTGGCCTTCGATTCCGATCTCGATCCTCCGGGCCCACTGAGCCTACGAAAGACTCCCGTGGACCTAGCTTTCTCTTCGAACAACTAATACATTAGGTAGGACAATTTTGACATTGGCTCGCATATCACGTGGATAAGGAATCTAATCATCCGATTGAGGATCCTCGATAAGATTCCTTGGGGAATAGCGTAGAATCGTAGATTAGGTTAGATCGCTCGGATTCGTAGCTCGCGTTTACAAATATAACGAAACGTAGTGAAAATTGCCACGATTACCGTTGTCCTTCGTCATTTAGATTTTCGTCCTCTTGTCCAAGAGTGGCAGAACTTTTTGCTTCCCTCGACCCAGGAATAAGAAAATTGTGTGTCCATCGATAAAGGAAGAGAAACGTCGTCGCGGAGCTAGAGAGATTCGTCGATTCTATTATTCCCGTGTAAACTTCACTATCGAAATATCGACTGAGATCACGTCTACCGTGTCCACAGAAAACGCCGATGACATTCGCTTAAGATCATTACTTACATAAGAGAAACTCGGCGTTGCTCGCTCTGGGTTTCTAACGAAATATCAGCAGAGTAACATAAGGTTAATGACACGAAAGTCAAGTGGCCCCAAGCCACATGAGAGTTATGTAACTTACGGCATTCGATTTGACTGTACACATTTAAGTCTGTTTCCTGCAATATCAAATAGACATACATCAAGCACTGGCATAACCTCAAGAAGCGCCATCTTGCATCTTGCAATGATTGATCATATCCACATCATGACTCACGCTCAATGCTCTTCTTCCGTTGTCATATCAACTGTCATTCCAGGTAATTTCATTTTCCTCTTATAAATCATCTTCAAGTCAAATAATCCCCATGGTATCCGCATTCTCATTCCGTCGACTAGAGAATGCCGTACGGTTCTCCTAGTTTGTTTCTTTTGCTCTCCTACTGCTAGAAAGAATTTTGTCAATTTCGGCAGTAGGTGAACGGTGTGTTGTGACCGAACCAAGGCCGCCGCTGCTTTGCAAGCGTGAGTTGTGTAATGCGTATTGGCGGCAGAGCGGGCAGGGTTTCTCAAATAGGTGTCAATAGGTGTCCCGAGGTACATCGTACTACACGGCGAGACAGTGGTCTCACTGAACAAGGAGGAAACTCTGCATGGCTGAACGAAGCGAACAATTCAATTAATGTTATTTGCGCCCAGATTTCGCTCAATGACAAGCAATCGAGCGTGACGCGCTGCGTCGCAGGTGCTAACAATTAAATAAACTAATAAAGCCGTCACTACCTCTTTTAGCTTTTGGCTTTTTCGATTAGAATCAACACGTGCTGGAGTACGCCATACTTTATTTAGTCAAAATAAACGCTCTTGTACACGCGAGGAGTTAGCTTCGCGAAGAAGACATCGGTGGTTGTATATGCTCAATTGCTCATACGTAGAGGCGAAGAGGAGAAGAAGAAGAAGAAGAAGAAGAAGAAGAAGAAGAAGAAAGAGAAGATTATTAGCTTAGGAACGAGATGTGAATATTAATCGATATGGTTTCGGTGTCATAGTTATGCCACACTCTCCAGTCAAGTCCAGCTGTTGATCTTCAGGTGAGGTTAGGTTAAGCCTCTGGAGGATTCGACCAGTAAAAAGGAAGAGCATCATCTTGGCTAGATCTTCGCCGAGGCACATCCGCTTTCCTGTCGGTGCAGAGGATGGAGAATAAAAGAATATAAAACTGTATTGTTTACTAGGATGGACTCACCAGTCTGAAAGGGAAGAAAAGCTTCTGGCTTGGCGAGACTTCCGTCCTGGGCGATGAATCTTTCCGGTTTGAATTTCGTTGGGTCCTGCCAGTATTTCGGATTCATGTGAATAGCCCACTGTAAGGGAACCACCATGCTTCCCTTTGGAACTTCGTAACCGGCGATCAATGTGTCCTGGGTGAAGGGGGAAAAAAAAAAGAAAAAATATACGAAAAGAATCTTTCTTCGTTTCTGTTTCTTTCTCCAATTTTTCTTTGACTGACCTCAGTGGTTCCGTGAGGTATGCCGACGGGGACGACGCTCCTGATACGTTGAGTTTCCGCTATGGCAGCTTCGAGGTACGGCAAGGCACTTCTGTCATCGAGAGACACATTCTTCCCTCGAAGAACAGCATCCAACTCCTGCTGAATCCTGAGCTGCTCCTCGGGGTATGCAACCATGAAGAGGAGGAACCAGCGAATCGTCGCCAAGGTGGTGTCTGTACTGGCGCCAAAGAGATCCGCCAGAAAATGAAGAAACTGAGGTTCGGTAAAGTGACCAGGATCATCACTGTTCATCCGACGTCTCATCTCATCGTCGAACGCAGCCAAGACACTGTCCATCGTCTCTTCTCCATTGTCAACCTGGTTCCTGTGCTCGGCGATGATCTGCTTGTACACTTGATGAGTCTTCCGCTTCCCATCGATCAGATAGTCAAACACTTTACTAAATCGTGGAAGCAGCCTGAGAATCGGCAGAAAGTTAAGCGGCCCTGCCACGCCGATATGCTTGACTCCTTCTTCCTGAAGATGACGCAACCACTTCCACACGACGTCGTCCTCCCGGTAGTCCTTGCCAAAGACAATGCGATTCATCAGATTACCCAGGCAGTGATGTAAAGTCTCGAAGGGATCCACACCTTGTCTACCGGAATGCACCGATAATTTCTGTCAATAATCAAGAGCGAAACAGTTGAAGTTTCGAGTTTGGAGTTTGGAGTTTGGAGTTTGGGAGTTGGTCGATCGATCTTATTAAATTCGTTACCGATACACTCTCGTCGACGGCCCCAATTATTCTCGCTTCAAGTCGATCGCGTTTACCTCCAAATTTCAGCATTCCCAGATTCTTCAGGCACGACACAGCGAATCTACGTTGCTCCCTCCAGAGTTTACCTTCGGCGCATATCAGTCCTAAAGCACCAATCAATAAAATCGTACCCCAATATCGATTACAAGTCAAAGCAATGTGTGTGTATAAGTATATATGTATATCTTATCTAAACGGCCTTAACTCATGCAGCAAGCGCGGTACACGACGCACGGTGCTTGTGATAATCAGGATGAAGGAGAACGGTGGCCGAGGACCATCGTACCGTAAGTAGGCGCAGCCACTGAACTCGTCGAAGGATAATCTTCGATTTGAATAAAAAGTAGCTGCTAACTGAATTCCCGACGGTATGATCTCAGTGGTATTACAAAAGTCTCCCGATCTTCATTGTCATTGAATAACATAAAGCTTATTCATTTTGGCATAGTTATCATAAACTCCCCACGTAGGCCTTAAGGCCGACACCTTGTGCCAGATGCAACGAGGATGGGAGAGATGGGAATGCCGGCTCGAAACTTTAAGTATGCAGCGATCAAAGTGCCTCATGACGCTCCCGTCCTGCGACAGTCATTCGAAACGAAGATTCAAATAAAACCGTTAAGAATCGAGAGGAGGCCGATTTGAGAAATCGGCGCGATTCGGATTGCCGAATGGGAGTCAGCAGGTTTGCGGTCCGGTTTTTCGTTAAATATCAATGCACTCTCATGGGCAGAGTGCATGGTCGCCCGGCTACGATTCTTCTTCGTTCGCGACTGCGTAGTTGGGCCCGTCCATTTTCAATTGATTCTATAGAGAAGAAGAAGAGAGATTCGTTAGCTCATAGTACCTGCCAATCGGGCAGGGCGCTGAGTGTCATTGTTTTGTAGCCACCTCACATCCCAGCGCAGCCACGGACCGAGAATGATCTTGGAATTCTGATGATCGACACGCAAGATTATTGAGGTTTACGATCGAGCTACCGAAGGAATTTCAACAATGGCGCCAAAGAGAATCGAACGTCGTCGTCGTCGTCCTCGTCGTATATTTTAACTGATCTCATAATCTCGCGTAAAAACTCTATAATAAATTTACAAATGGACTTTTTTCTTTCGTTCCTCAAGCTGGTCCACTCGTGGATGATAAGAATATCGCTGGTACCGGTGACGTCATGGGCCTCGTCAGTCTCCCTGCCATTCTGGCAGCTTGAGCCGTCGGTTAGCCCAGGTAGACGGGGACGCTCTCCAATTGGCGAACCGCCCGAAATAACCGGGAATCGGCTACGAGAGTAAAAGGGGGAAGTGAATAGGCTTCGAGAGAGAGAGAGAAAATGAGAGAATCCAAGGACGTTTCAGAACCGATGTACTTCGCGTGCTCCCACGCGGTAGCGTACGTGTAATTATCACTAATGTATAATTTACAATAAGACCAAAAGAGAAATGGTCTGCTGCTGTCAAAAAGTTAAATGCAATTACGAGGACAATAATGCGAAGATACAAGAAATTTGCGGAGCCGCCCATTGTCCCTGAGGTTCGAGTTATATTCGTTGCGACGTCTGGTACGTTTCCACGTGCATCGAAATATGACTTTAGCCACGTCTTTGTCTATCTGACGAATCGTCGTGACGAATATATACGGCCGCGCCTAAAGGACGTAATGTAATTTTGAAGAAGAAGACAAAAATGCTAAAAGTCATGCTAACATTCGTTCGAGACGGCATGACAAAAAGATGTCAGTCGAGGAGGTCGGTTACGAAAGAGGTTCGGGCTACTGCCGTCAGACGTCGCAGGAGGGTGCTAGTGCGCGAGGGAATAGGTGACAGAGACAGAGAAAAGAGAAGCGTCGGTAAGTCGTAGAACGTATGTGAAAGGCCATCGGCCCGTCCTTGCGGTTCTAACTGTAATTCCCCGCGGATGCAGAGCAGAACGCAAGCCGGGGGGAACTTCCCTCAAGGAGACCGATAAAAGTGAGAGTCCTTCGAGGTAAAGGAACGTATCTACGGACAGGACAGAGGCCCGAGTCCGATTCCGAGTGCAAAAGGGCATTCGCCCCGTTCAAGGTTCGCTTTCGTGACGTGAATTTGATTATTCACAAAGCGGACCCTTTTACGCTACCAGACTCGTTCGTTTAACGACCTTCGCTATGAATAGTTCACGAGATCGAGATTCTCTGGATCTGAAAACCAAATCACTTCCGCAAATCAGTCCAACCCGACGTTACGTCCGCGCGAGAGATCAGGTTCCACGTTCGCGGCCGATAACCGAATGTCAAAGGACCAAGAGATTGGGATCTGTCTTGTATGACGTAGCGCCCTTGGAAGCGGCTATCTCGCATATGGCTCCCGGGTTCAGGGGAAGAGAGATGAACCTTTCGAGGGGTTGCATGTTCAAAAGATTATACTTGGGCGATACCGAACGTTTATGATTTTACGAATTTTCCTCGTAAAACCCATTAAGCTCCTCACTCATCTCCTCGGACATTATCCTTGGCCGATCTTGAGCCAGTAAATCCTTCACCCCCATGCAAAGTATTCCACCAAATTTCTTAAAGACTCATTCCAATTCTCCGCCTATCCGCCAACTAGTTATTTAATTTTGGTTTGCCTAGTACTTTGCTTTGTAATAAATTATGTTTGTTTGCTCATTCAATTCGTTTGCATATTTTTCCTATCTTAACACCAATCTCTTCTCAGTTCTATCACCATACGTCAACCTCTGACGGCTCTTAATCATCGAGATCAAGGTAAGCAACTTATTGTTATTATGTTTGGGTGAAGGAACTCCGTATTTTTGTTAAATCATAGCAGATGTTAAAATCTCCTAGATTTCGCAATTATTTATTTGGTGGTGATAATCATTCGCTTTAGTACGATATATTTAGAATCGATTCCGCTTCGTATCCAGCCTCGTTTATTCTTCCCAGAGTAATTAGAGGCAAAGCCCAATCCCGAGTAAAGTGCGCGAGCATTGTCTCAAAACAGGGCAACCTAGTAGTAGGTATATTGCGATTCTGTAAAGGCACCAGACTGGGTGAACCGGCCTTCGTTCAGGCTCGGACGTAACACAGACTACGTTTACACGACGGCCTTAAATCGGCTTATTGTTAGTTAACACTGATCTAAAGGAATTGATCGGTCCCAAATATTCCTTACAAGTAGAAATGCCTACGATTCGTCTATTCCCTCAGATCAGTATTAACTGAGCCGGTTTAAGACCGTCGTGTTAACGTAGTCGAGTCACCGTCACAATCACTAATCACAGTCAAACAGTTCCCGACACCGACGCACATTCCATTCCTTGTGTGTACCAACGTAAAATCGCGATTGAACGTCTGATCGAGTAAGTCTTCTCGTTCCCGACCTTGACAGCCGTGACTATAGACGTATGACTAGAAGGGCGCTACTACGTAGTGGTACGAGAACGAATACGACTTTGCTGCGCGCCGAGGCGGTCGACGTCACTTGAGAAACGTCGCAGCAGCCGACGCCGTGAATTCAGTCGGCAGACGCCAGTCACCGTCTGGTCCGACTGTTGACGATCCTACGACGCACGCAGTTCGCAGTAAGTAATTCGACTCTTTACGCTTTATCCCAGCCCCCATTATAGTTGCTACTGCGTACGACCGGCCTCGAACCCGCCAAACCTTGCGCAACCGTCGCAAACGACGTAATCGTAAAATCTCACCCATTACGATTGCACCTTCCCCACTCGGCAAGTTTATATATATACATATGTATAATACATTATATACGTTCACACCTTCAAGAATAGCCACGAACGCCGTCTCGACTTTTCTTTAAATTTTCATACCATCTTTGTACGGTCCTCCAGCTATCGTAAAAACGTAGCCAAGGTATAGTAGTATGTACGGTACTGAAAAAAAAAAAAGAGGTGTGTGACGAACCGCGATTTCGCTTTGATATTTAAGAGATCCTTTTTGTTAATACTGTAAAATATAATGAGACGCCCGGTTACGAAGGTATATGCATACAATCATGTGATTTCGCAATACACTATCTACTGCGTATAACGTTGCCGATTTCTCAAAGACTTCTATTACGGAATGTCAAGTTTAGTCGTAGCCCCTCTTACGTATTCGCTGTGGCAATGTCGAGGTGAAAAATCTGCCTGCTCGATAACAACCAATAGGTTAATACACGTCTTGTTTATAATACCTACAGCATATACGGCTACCCTCTATACTATGTACGATGTTCTCTACCTGTGTATACCTGGTTATCCGGTACCCGGTATCCACTGACTCAGGTTCAATGTTACTCTCGCTTTCGGTCTGCTTCCGAGAAGCGTATTAATAGTAGCGGTTTGCAGTGTCGTGTCGGTCTCACGTATGGATTCGCTTTCTATGGCTCACGTCGTCTGGTTGGCACGCCTGGTATTTCCGATCCGGACGACTCAACGTCCTCCTCCACCTGCTCCCCCTCAATCGTTGACCTCATCCTCTTCCTCGGCAAGTGGAATATATACAGCATGGTTCCCGTTAATCGTTTACAGGGCAGCACCAGGTACTAAATCCTGACACTCGCAATCAGGACTGGTATATGCATGACCAAAAGAAAAAAAAAAAAAACTTGAAGGACAGTTTCCATATTGTTCCGTCAAGTTTCCAGAGCGACGACTCTGCAATATTCGCGGCGATGCTTTCTTGCGTATAAATCCTTCGGTGAGGTGGACGGCTGTGCGGCAATGTGCGTTAGGTAACCGGTGTCGATGGCCGCGCTCCTTTCATTCATTCGAGCCAATAGAGAATTGAATCGCGATCGAAACATAACGTCGGTTCCGTCCGCGGATCGCGGACTTAAGAACGGCGAGGCTGCGACCTCGTCTCATCGATATACATATGTATACCGGCTGCTATATATTATACACGGAGGAATTCGCGGGAGCAGACGTCTCGGAGCTGCCGAGGAATTAAGTGCAAATTGCATAATGTGTTTATACGGAGCGTGGCGCATTATCGTTGCGCTCCATAATAAATTAATATCATTACGCACGACATTATCCGTCCGGTAACCAGTTTGCAGACTGCATAATAAATAAGCCCCAGGTATAAAGTCTTATAATGTAGCGGTAATCACGGGTTGCTCCGAGGCACGCGCCGGAGGCCTTCTGATCTCGACTCTCTCATCTCTGCTCTTTTATCTCTCTCTCTCTCTCTCTGCTCTTTCTTAGCACCAGATGTACATTGAATGTCTCTTGTAAATTATCGAGCTCGTAAAAACGTTATCAACGAAGACGTTATATGGGACGGCTGTCATTAAAGCCTGTCTGTTTAGTTTTTCAGAGGCATCGGATCATCGTGGGGATGGGTGAGCTTGTCGTGACGGCGTGGTGGCCGCTCGTCGAAATCACCGGTACGAGCGTCCCGGGCGTCCCGACGTCCTGGTATAAAGATACAGTGGTACAAGTCGGAGGTGGCACCCGGCATACGGCTGGTCAGACTATTTTCAGCGTTGTATCACTGAAGCACTGAGCAAATGGCATTGGGCCGAGGCTAGTCCCTTCTCTCTCGGATCGGATGAGATCAGAGCGTAAACCAGGGACCGGGGTAGCCAGAGCATCGGAATGCAAGAGAACCCGGTCCGAACACTTTGGTGAGGGCGTGGCCTGGTCCCCCCTTTCGGTACAGTAGCAGGGAAAGGAACCTCGCCCTGGTAGAAGAAGGAGGACTTTTTGGTACAGCCCGACGGAGGGGCGTTGGTTCTTAGCCACGTGGAGGGAAGTCAGGTGTCCACCTGGTGGAACCTTGCCGAGGGGTACCACCGCAGCCGTTATCGTCCTCGTAGAAGTATATGGGCGTAAGGTTTTACACTTTTTGGTACAGTAGTGCCAACCAAGAAAAAAAATATATACGAGATAAGTTCGTGATGCCAGGCGTGAAATTAAATGAATGGAGAAATTGAGACTCGGCGAGGACGTTGACTCGACGCGGTGGCGCCTCGTAAACAGTGCCGGAAGGAGAAGAGGAGCTTTCGAAAATTGACATGGCCGCTGGTGAAAGACTTTTTCATTAAGTTTATTCGGGACGCTCTCGCTCCGTGTCGATTTGCCATTTTCGTGGACCAGCAGGACGTGGCGGTGCGTTCGGTTCGTTCACCGTAGGATTTAGCTTATGTAATTGTAGCTATGCAGTTGTTGCTTTGCGGCTGGGACGCGAGGAACGAATTCCCCTCTGCCGCGGGAGTTTCCTTTTGCATCTTTAGTAGGTTAGTCGTGCCACGTTGACAGATTCGCAAATTGGCAGAACCGTTAGAGTGCAAAGCCGTGTGTTCCTTCCGCTGGTTAGTTCTCTCGAATCCGTTCAGTTTTTTCACGTCTATCAGCTTCTTCTACGTACATTGTAATATCGTCTATCAAATGTGAAAGACATACAAATTGGTAGCTTCGTACCATAATATATCAAAGGTATCACTTAAATCGGGAATTTAGAGCTGGCGATGCTACACACAGACATTTTTCAATGAAACAGAAACTCCTGAACTAGTCTATGAACGAAGAAGGTACCTTAACCTTAGATCTGCGAGTGCGAGGGAGACAGACTTATTTGCACGAGCATTACTAAGAGAGAGAGAGAGATAAACACAGTCGAGGACGACTCCCTGGAGATCATACCCGAAAGGACACTAGAAAACTGGCTAAGCGATAAAACATTCTATCTCGTATTAAACAAACGTGTACAGTCGGTCCACGAGTTCGATGTCATTATTTTGACAGATCGAAAACAATGAGAAGCCTCTGGCAAGCTGCTACACGTGGCTCTTCATAGAATTTTTCTTACAATGTACGTGCCTGGTTTTGCGATGAATTATATTTTTTTATTTTAGCATCTATTTTCAGATTCTTATATAAATCCACGTGTCACTTGTTAAGGATTACATTCTTCACAAACTGCCGAAAAAGCACATTGAACTCGCGGACCAACTGTAACTTTAGATAAGTATTCTGTCGAAAATTTTATTTTTCTCAAGCTACTTACCATAACCACCCATGATGCCGTGAGTTAAATAGAGTGGCGCTCTACCGGAAAAGGAGTCCTTGGCGAGGACCTGTCTCACCAGACGAGGATCTGATAGAAGAACGGTGTAGACGGATCCCATTTTAAGAGCACAGACAGGACCGTATCGACGTGTTAGATTGGTCAGCGTCTCGTGAGGCGCCTTGGAATCGATCCAGGGTAAATATCCGATGACAGGAAGTCCCCAGGGCCCAGGAGGTCGCTTTTGCCTGTGTCCGGTGCTCCTGAGTATTGCCAGAGGTAGAAGAAGCAGGGCGACGAGGATAAAAAGAAGCAGCAGCATGACTCGACTTTCCTATGAAAATGTATGAGAACATTAGTGTCATCAAGGTACCATCCACACGTGTATAAAAAGTCGTCATCAGCTGTGCTACACTGTGCTGTCTCTTCTTGATCCTTGTGTGGCTTTGTCCCCTCGCTAGAGGGCCAAGTGTCAGGTGATGTCCCTTTGTTTGCCGAGTTAGCCGGGCGACTGTCTCGTCCAGCCACCAGTGTGCAGCACAGTCTACAATGTGGGCCAGCACGTGATCAGGCACGTGCTGGGTCGGCAGCACAGATTATATCAAATGCACCGAAGGAAGCGTGGCTGCGGAATGTACGCTAACCGGCGCCATAGTCCTACCCAGTACTACCGCCATAGCACGCTCTCGAGTTTTGCGATGTTTGAACGGCCTCGACGATAACTTAGCTGTTGTTTATTTTATAAAGGGAAATTGTTAATGCTCTATGTCCTTTAAAGTGTTATCTGTCTTTCTTCAACGTTTTATCAAGAGAAAGAAATCTTTAGGAGAATAATACTCACAGGTGCCTTACCTCGCGTCGTGAGTTCGGTAGAATGCCAGCAAAATGCGGTATTCGTTCACAGCGCCCCCCGCGCACGACGAAGAAAGCTTTTACGTTTCGCGGGTGATTCAAAAAAACGTTTAATGTATTACGATGATCAAAGTATATTATGTAAATATTTGTGAGTAATAAGAGAATCTGATCTACCCGGTAGCCCAGCAAGACAGCGACTGACGATTAGCCTCTTCATTCTTACTCCTGGTGTAGACAAGGTCTGTGCATTGACTACCAAATTCATCGATTTCATATTCTCCTGCGATCTTTATCGTTCGGTCTTCGAGTCTCGGACACGGCAGTGAACCTAAGGTATGGCCCTGTTAGCGTCGCCAACCACCGCGCGGCGCTGGTAGTCACTTGTGTGTGTCCGGCTGTGTCAGCCGCGACTTATGTGAGTGTTTAACGCGTTTATAATGCTACTTTGAATGAGCAGTGAAACTCCCAAAACTTTTTTCATTCGGCTAAACAAATCCCAAAATTTCATGCACATCTTATAAAATGTCAATTGAACATTAGTATAACATATGTTAATTATCATATAAATGAATGAAAAAAATAAGTAAAAATGCATAATTCTAATTATAACAATTATGTGGTATTTTATTATCATTTTTACTTTTATTGAAATTTTGGGGAAGCGTGGGGAATAAATTAAATACAAGGGCCTTCATATTACGATATATTTATTACGACAACGGGGGTTGGGGGGACGCAGCGCGCTTGACTACTAGCGCCGCTAAATGCGAATTGCAGACGGCGACACTACTAACACAGCTGTGTACTGCCTATAAGAATTTAGTAGAGTGTCAAAGGGCTGGTCTCGGGCAAAAGACCCATAAGAGGGTAGGAACGATTTTGTAATGGTTTCCTTTTTTTTAATTTGAGATACTAATATTGTATGTACGTTAAATCCATAAATGTAAGCAAATATACTGAATTTAACTATGCGCAATTCATGAACTTGATGGCGATAGAATATTACTAGGCTCTTTTCAATCCAAATGGTACCAAATAGAATTGATATCGGCATGATGCGTATAGAAACGCAGTGTTGGATCTCGACGTTCATGTTTACAATCACTTGCTTATTTATAGCTGTGAATTTGTATTCGACTGCAGTAAGGATCTGTAGGTTTCCCACAGGTAACTCAGAAGACGCAACGACTCGATAGTCGCTTATACGTATACGTCTTCGGAAATACATATCAGCTGATTATCAGTGTCTACAAGGGTCGTGTGTGTGTATATATATATATATCTGTATACATCTTTGAATCGTACTCAGTACATGGAGGTACGTTCCATTATTATTTTCCCTATTTGTTCAAAGTAAGTTTCTAGCTCCTGAAACATTGTTGTGAATTATTTTAGACTGCTCACCACTGAATTCACAACATTTATTATTCTTGTTGTCTTTTAAAAATACAAAAAAACATAAGATATACGAATCAAATCTTTTGGATACGACTATCTGACGTGGTATCAGACATACCTTTCTTCGCGCAGAACGTCCGTCCGTCTTGGTCGGATGACAATCGGCGAAAGGGACGATCGCGTTATCGCAATGGACCACGCCGGGGCTATAGTGCCGGCAGGTGGGGATGCTGGCGCATAGAGCGCCGCAGTGCGCCTAGTAATTTTGGCGCCGGTTTACAAACTCGTGTGGCACAAGTTGAACATTGAAAAGTGCCATTACTGCTGATATCAAAATTCTCACTGTTGAGTATTACAGCTGTCAGTGCGCATTGAAGTGTAATTCCATAACCTAACCTAGCCTAACCTAACCTAACCACAGGTAGGGTCATTAAATTTATTAATTTCCTAATCCGAACCACGAGGAAGATGGAGCAAGGCTAACAGGTAGAGAATTCAAAAACAATGATATGTCTCGTCGTGGATGGGCAATAGGAAGAGTAGAAGGAGTAAGAGGGACGATGGTGGATCCAAAGAGAAGGGAAGAAGTAGTTCGAGTAGAACGAAAGTAAGAGTGAATTCCCAACTGATACCTGTCTTCAAGAGCTCAACCTGGCCGAGGAGGGTTCGAGAGTAGCTAAACACCTTAGAGTAGTTTAAGAGAGCTTGAAAATGAATAAACTAATTTCATAATTTATGCCTCTTTTCATGTAAATCCAATCCAACAACTTGTTCCTCTCTGAGAAGAACCTGAGCAGCTGTTCTCCTACACTAAGGAACCCTTATAAATACGTAATTCTCAAAGAGAAATCCATTTGTTCCTAGACGCTCCGCTTCAGTATCACGTAAGCACTGCATACATTTATCATTGGATTATGTAACTCGACGAATTTAAGTACCCGGGACGTCCCCTAAATCGTCTCTAAGACACTTCTGTCTCTTTGTCCTTGTCCTTGTTACCTCGGATCCAGAGGTCGTTAGCCCAAAACGTGATCAGAACTGCGCATTGTGCCAATCCCAGGTTAGACGGTACTCCTACTGCTTTTGATTGGTCGTTCTTAGTACGTCGCACGCACATGAGAAGGTGAGAGATTTCTGATTGGTCGTTCTATCAGGTCTTTACGTACATGTTGAAACGTACACTGCCGTGGCTGCCACTTGGGCCCAACTTCAGCTGGTGCGTTTCTACTGACTAACTCTGTATACGAACACGCACGAAAAGATACATGTATATATATATATATATATAATATATTTACTTGGATTTACCTAGATTTTTTTTCTACCCAGACAAGTCTCTTAGGGGGAATTCCGAGATGACAAAGGTCCAGAAAAACAACCTGGAAAATTAGGCTATGACCAAAGTCCATCCAATTCAGGCAGCTGATGCAAGTTTATGCAAGTGTAAGTCATCCGTGCACTCGCGCGCTCCTTTATATCTCTGTGTAAACTGCATTTTGTATGTGTTCTATATATATATATATATATATATATATATGTATACACACACACATGGTTATTTATACGTACACATCGTGTTTCGTTTACCTTCGGAATCGGTCGACTGTAACGATTGCAAATAACATTGGGCCGCTAGCGGGAGATTTTCCGATCGGAACTCGAGTCGCACGACTCAACAAATCAGGATCGGGACTTGAAAGCATAAAGGAGCGTTTCTCATGAAGAGAGAGAGAGAGAGAGAGAGAGAGAGAGAGAGAGAGAGAGAGAGAGAGAGAGCGAACGGTTGGCAGGCCGATGGTCGTCCGGTAGAGGAGTCAGGAGGTTCTGGTATGTGTTGCTCTGGCGGAACTCGGTGCAATAGTACCTGAGAGCCCGATTCGACGGGACGTGCAACGACCGACAAAGGTCACTCGCGGCGTTAAATCTGCATTTGCTACGAGATGTCATCTTCCATTCTCTCCTTTCTTGAATACTAGCTTAAAGCCGTCCCACTTGGGTTAGTCCAGGTACGTAAGCCAGCATCCAATACCAACTTCCCGTGGATGGGAATCTGAAATGAAAAAATAACAAAAATTCAATCAGTTGGATCTTTTCTAAGATGGCGGCGATCACCTCGTCTAAGAATTGACGATTACTTTGGACGGAGATGACATAAGGATTTGACTGTTGACACAGGAGGAAATGTCATCTGGCTATTTTGTAATGCTGGAAAACTACAGATTGACCTAGAGTGGACCATGCACTTTGCTTACGGAGACGTCGTGGGGGTATCGACGGCCTTAATGAACATAGAGAGATTACACATAGAGTGTAATCAGAGTGGTAGAATCATCACTGGGACTTGTAACTACTAGAAGCATCCGGAGTTTTGCGAAGATTCGCTTTCTATGTACTGCTGAGGAAGCTGGTGCGCCGGGAGCGAGGGTTTTCCCGATGTAGCTTATTCGAGGACACTCTGCGAAGCCGTTATTTACGGCCTCCCCGTTTCCATATAAGCATAAGCCGGATTCTCAATCTCGGGATCGGCAGACGCAGGCGCCCATCTAGATATCTAGATATCGCCATCTAGAATGTCCCGTGCATTGAACGCAGGGGGAATGCACTGACAATGAATGCAACTTGCGCGGGGTACCAACCCTGCTCTTCCGAGCCTCAGGGCGGCGCCATTAACCTTCTGTTAGATGCGTCCTCTCGAGGAGGAGCGAACGAGTCGATGGACTGATTGGAATCAGACTAGGATATCCGTGGAGCGAGGGCGACGCGAATGGCGAAAGTACGAAGTACGTCGTCCACAGGGATAACGAGGAGGAAGAGAAAGAAGAGGGGAAAACTTTAAAGGCGAATAGATCCGGCCCTGAGGCTCCGGGTAATGAAATTATTTTTATTAAAATCTAAGGACGACTACTCCGGGTTCGATGGAACCAATTTTTCTGTCGTCGGGTGGCGACGGTGGTGGTCGGGTTGCGTGTTGCCGGTGCTGCTGCTCTTTGCTGGCGATGCTGGCGGTGGCTTCTGGGCCAAGATCCTCATAGTCTGCTAGTAGCAACCGTTGGCTGGTGTCTTGGGTTCTCCGGAGTGGATGGGGTCGAGATCATCTCATCTTAATGGACCGAGGAAGATGCTTTTTGTCGAGCGCGTTCAGAGAATAATGAACCCAGGAGGCCGGTGATCTCTGCGCGCTTCGAGATGCCAACTACCGACTCGTCCTTCGTTCGGTCGTACCCGCGACCCGAACTCGAAACCCGCCTTGAGAGAGGCGAATTTCTTTCGACTTACTCGAGTGAGAATGCGACCTGAGGTGCAACGCACTACCTCTACACCACCCTCGCAACCCTCGATACGTTGCGCCGGGCAACGAACGACCGGGGTCATTGGCTGGATCCAGTTATCAAGGTTGGGGTCCTTCGGCAGCCAGATCGCGACGCTCTTTTGTTCGGATCGACGAACTTTCCATCACGTAGCGCAGCGCTGTCCGCCGATATCTCGACTCTCTTATTTTCAATTTCATCTCGTCTCACCTCCTTTCGTCCTATCTGTGCTCCCTGCCCTTTCTCCTGATTCACGTAGATGGATCCAGTCGCAGAGTCTAGACGGTTCGTTATATTTTTCATGCTCCACGTGAGGTCTTCCAATTATACGCGTTAACTCACTCGGGTACCTGGTGCAGCCAACTCTAGGCATCGGCTAACTAGATAGCTAGCTAACCCTGGAGACAGCCGGGGATGGCACTGCGAAAGAATGCAGCCTGTCGAATCCATTTTGTCGAGGAGGTTCATGAACTTCGCCAGGATCTCTTCTTCGGGTCTTCTTCTTCGTTTTCTTCTTCTATACGATAACGACTGGTTGCATGTCCTTGCAAGGTGAAGGAGGATTCGAGAGACGCCTCGACGGTTTATATAGTCATCGACCTCACAATCGTATCTCGATGACCAAATATCAGATGCACCGGTAGTTTTATAAATAACATCTTTCCATCTATAACGAACATCGTCTACATTCATGAGGGCACCCCGTCCTGGACTCTCGCCACTGATCAGCTCTCAACAATCATCCATAAATGTCAGAGGTGCTGAGTGAGGTAGTGGTGCGTGGGTGGATGATCGCAAGGTGGACAGGGTCAGATGAGGAGACTGGAAGTGAACGGTAGAAGAAGAAGAAGAAGGAGAAGAAGAAGAAGAAGAAGAAGACAAAGAAGACATCGCATGTAACCGGTTCAAGGAGAGCTGCGTTCTGATAACCCAGATTCGTGTACTATCGGTCAGATCGGAACCTCCCCCGCCTTGTTGAGCCGCGAAGAATTCAGTAGCGACTAGACCAGTCGCTTCCAATTATAAGCAGCAGGAAATATTGGACTAGGGTATTCAACTGTTTCCAGGGAGTCCCAGGCTAGCTACGGATCTATCTAGCAGTAAGACTAGAGTACACGCCAGCAGCCCAGCCAGACGAAATGCAAAACGAAGAGTCTTCTACTTGGTACTGGTTCGTACTAGCTTACTGGCTGTACGTCGACGACGCTGCTCTAGAGATATCCTCGCCTTCTTCTAACTGTACGAGCGACTGCTCCAGTTTTCAAGGAAGAGCAGGAGTGACGTCTTCTCTCTCCAACCCACATCAGTACACACTATACCTGTATAGCTAAAGTCAGAAGCTCAGCCATACCTCGAGTACACTACCCGTTCTCCATGACTGTTAGATTGGACGTTCCATCGACTAAAGATGGCAATGGAAATCATCGCATCCCGACGGCTGGGGTCGCCTTCTCATCGAAGAGAGTGTAAAAGTGTATTGTAGCGGTAGGACAGGCCCCCCGGTCTATGAGATGGGTCATTACCCACTTGTGCGCTAGAGCAGAGAGGCCACTGTTGGCGAGTCTTACAGTTTTGGGCCTTGTAACTCAAGAACCCTATAGCCCAATTATAACCAACAGTTGAACGACCTCTTCCGACGCGCAGCCTTGCGAGGAATGTTTCCTTCGCGTTGTTGACGCTTCACCATACCCAAGCATGTTCCCTCCCGACTTCATTCTTTATTTCTATAGGTATCAATATCTCTTTTCTCTTCGTTACATCTCATCGACGATGAGAGTTGGTACAGTTTACGCATCCAGAGTGATCATTCTTTGAGTAGATCCAAATTTAAGTTAGAGTGAGAAAGATCCTTGCGTATCGAAATCTGCCCACTCACTCGATCATTGATCTCCATCTCGGCTCTCCGCTCTCCGATCGTAGCGACAGGAAGTCTTTGGACAAAGAGCGCCTTAACACGGATCCGGCCGAGATCGTTAGCCTTCGTGACAATGGAGAGGCGCTCGACGAGAGACCGCAACCCACATTCCCCAAAATATGGGTCATCCTCACTCTCCATGCGTAAGACGGTCCCATAGTATCTTTCGATCCTGCACTCGCACCCACGTAAGGCTCAATTCGCAGCTGTGATTAAGAAGAAGAAATTGACAGTGACTAAAATAATTAACCTGAAAAATCCTGATAGCCAAGTCAAGCGTCGTGACGTCTTCATTCACAGAATCCACATGGTTCTTACTTGGTAAGCCATAATGACAACTATTTCCAGCTGCGATTTGAAAGTCTGATACCTTGATGAAATTGGGGCGTCCGTACAAACCAGCATCTTTCAATGTTAATTGCCAAGTGGAAATTGATCGCGATCCTTTTCACGGTTCGATGACACCTCTCTTCGTTTCATATAGACGTACCTGCGGAATTGCATATCATGGTGGGTGGGACGTACATCCAGAGTGGTGAATCGTAGCGGAGAGACGAAGAGAACGAATAAACAAAATGAGCTAAGAACGGGGCTGGAAGTTGAAAATATATTTGGCTATTTTAATCACGTCAATTACCAAGTCTTTTTTATACAGGATACTGGGACCAAATGGGACAGTATACTTTTGCCCTACCCTTTGACTGACTGACTGACTGACTGACTGACTGACTGACTAACTGGTTAGTTTGCTTGCAGATTCGGCACTCGAGTAGCTTCGCTTGCGTGTCTCCCTCTCAATTTTTTACACGACTGGGTAGCTCAAATGCGTGACTGAGTGCGTGAGCGTCCGACTCGAGAGGCCGACGACCGCGACTTTCTCCTCTTATGCTAATTTCGTTAATACGCTATTTTCACGTTCGCGTACCCACATTAAACCTACACTACGTTCACGGCGCTCTTACACTCGGACAGGCCATATACTATACGTACCCTCACGAAACAACCAGCCTGGTTGTTTGTCCGAGTGTCCCAAAGCATTGAATATCTCCATCGGTCACCTAAGAAAACTTTCGATCGCCAACATCAGGAACCGTCCACTCGCCATTTCTGTATAGTAAAATCTTATTCTTCCAGGAGTATCTGGTGTGGAAAACAAACCAAGAATGCCAAGGACAGACGAGATCGTGTCTTATCTATCTTGAATGAGAACGTTCACCAGGATCTCTGTATTATCAGAATCTTCAGAGTGCATCGTCCAGAGAATGATATCGTGCCGCAAAGAGTGCACTTTTCCTATGACACGGCTAAGCCCTCTCTTCGTCCTAAAGTAAGTATCCACTGCATGGTAGGTACGGAACACGTGGGATACCCTGGACAAGGATAAGAGGTAGAACGCAAAACGCAAAGGTGGACACACCTCAGCTCGTTTCTCCAATTGCTGAGCTGAACGTGTTTGTGTGTGAACGTCAGCCTGCGTAAGTGACATTTGTGCCGTGCGAGAGCTGAGTTCGTTGCCCCGTGAAAGAAGACAGGACCCAGCCAAAGCGTTTCTGGGTTTACAGCTTTACAGCTTTACAGCTTTACAGCTTTACAGCTTGGTCGACAATCTGCACTCGATACGTGCAGGCCCAATGAAGTTTCGTAAGTCCCATTTTTAGCAGATTGGATATTTTGTACATTGACAAATTGCCTAAAATTCCATTTGTGTCTTCTCAGGATACCAGGAGACTCTGCAAGAAGAGGATCATGAGAGAGACAGTCGATTATGCTTTACATGCTCAAAGGATTCTTATGGCTCCTTGGTAATGTAACACAACGGCCAAGGAAAGTACCGATATTCGTGCTGTACCAGATGGAAATCTCAAAGAATCGTTGGCCCGTACTAAGATCGGTTAACATTAAGAGAGCGTTCGTTGACGTCAGAAAAAAAACTGCTACCCGACCCCCGCTACTCGCCATACCAGCTCTTACGATTAGTTTGCTTTAGAGAGCGGACCCGGGCCTACCCTATCGAACTACGGATTTGTCGTTTCACTCCGGCAGAATTCATTACTGGCATCATACATGGTCACACGCGTCATGTGTGGTTGTAGCTCGTATCTGTATGGATATATACATTTACTCGCATTTGTACTCCAGGAGAAAGGTCACTGACCTCCTTCTCTGAAATTATAAAATAGCATTACGCCACTTGCTGTTTTGACTTCGTCGGACATCACTGTTTCTCCTCGGTCTTTTTCACGGGATGCCCGGTCACATCTGAAAGGAGAAAATTTGAGCCTTCATTAACTTGATAGCGACAACCAGCTAGCTGGCTAAGAAATTGGTCAAAGCCTGACACCAGACCCCCGAGAAGAACTTAGGTCAGGATGGTAGAAAGGACGGACAACGTTTGGCTGGTTGCTTTGGGTCACGGGTCGTCGTACTCGAAAGTCCAAGCTTTCCCGGCTCATCGGCATGCGCAACTCGCTATATTGTCTATTAACGAAATTTCTAATTCGAATTTATGATAATGAATAATGAAGTAAAGGTTATCCACTAGCCCGTGGCTGAACTGCCAATCAGTCAGGGGCTCTCATCTGAGTAAAGTTATTCGCAACATCTTTCTTGTAAATATCTCTTCTGCACTGTGCTAAATCATTATTTTTAATATCCTGTCAGTATTACCAACCTGTGAAGAAGAGTGAAAATGTCGAGAAAGAAAATATTGTAGACTTGCACTCTGATAACCCTGACGTCATCTGATCTCAATTAGCTGTATCACTGAAATAACTCAGAACATGAGAAAAAAGGGTTAATAATCATGTGGTCGTATCGTTACAAGAAATACTAATGGGTGATAATGGCAGTAACGATAGTACAAATAGTAGCGTGGCATTGGTGGTAGTAGCAGCAGTAGTAGTACAGTACTAGAGTAGGAGGGGACGAAGAAGAAAAAGGATGGTGACGAGGAGTTGTCGGAGGCCGAGAAGGAAGAGGAGACGATGAGGTGGGACGGAGGACACTTTCACTCTCACAGGTGCATGACCGATCGCCGAGCATCGAGCGGCCCGTCGGTTGATGAGCATGAGGCCCCCAGATCGGCGGCCTCTCCTGGCGTAGAGAGTTATTGGCTTGGTAAGATACCTTCAGCGGGTCCGCTAGATAACGGCCCAACGACCACGTGCTTACGGCAACTCGTGCCAACTTATGCCACGTTTCTATATACCCACAACACAGCTTCTACTACCAATCGAGTTACGTACCTAGGTATTTCCTTAGCTGAATACTAACCTTCCCGCTTCCATTTCTCATCGTCGCATTAGCTGATGCCGTTCGCATTGAACAGCGAGTTGCGTGCCGTTTTTGTGTTCCTTGACTATTTTTTTTTCCGTTTTCTTTTTTAAAGGGATATTGTCGCCACCGTTGCAGTAACGTTGCAGCTGCATCGACGCTGTACGATGCCACGAGCTGCTCCGAGTCGAGTCAACTACTCTGAAAGCCAGCAATACAAGCACGGAGAAGGAGAGATCGAGAGAGAGAAGAGGAGGGAAATGTCGGGGGGGGGGGCGCAATGATTCTGAGTGCTAAAGAGAGAAAGAGAGGGAGAGAGAGAGAAAGGGAGAGACGGGGAGAGAGTGTGTGAGTATATCTGACGAAGGTAGAACAAGACGAGAGAGAATGAGAGCGAGAAAAAGCGCAATAGAGAGGGAGAGAAAAAGGTCAATGAACGTGAAACGTCCAGCGCCGTTCGCCAGCGAGTTTACTCACTACCAAAATACACTTGAGGCGGTAGCGCGTTAGCCCGGTAGTCCCAGAGGACCCAAGTTCTCCCAGTGGGTCACTGGTTCATGAGGCGCTTTGTGAGTCTCCACTATCCACACCTCGATGGCATTGATGCGGATGGTAGGGAAGGTACCAAAAATACCATCAAGGTACTTTTTTTTCCGAGTAGGACTGACTACTCTTAATGGTAGGAGTCAGCTGATTATATATATATATATATATATATCTGGTACTAAAACGTAAGGGTACATACAAGCAGTTTATCTGGTAAGACAGTTGTATGAATAAAAATGGCAGCGTACCGATCGTAAAGCAAAATAAAGAGGTTAACTGTTTGAGTCGCTAAAAATATCCGTCGCACCTCAGGCTGGCTGGTTACATCTCGATTCCACCTTCGTCCACGTTTGAGTTCTGCGTTCGTGCGTGTAGTAATCGTCGCTTGCGATACGTACACATTTACAAGTTTGTAACCACTTACGTGCCGTGTTAGTAGTAGCAGCGACAGCGACGTATAATGCAGCCTGTTTTCGCATTCTCTCTTGCGATAGCCGGTTTGGACGAGTAAAATCGCTCTTTAGGAATTCGGGATGAATATAGGGTGTACCATGGGCATCATTTAGATACGGTTTAGCAGGAGGGTGATAGAAGAGTGAGAGAGCGACTTGGCGAGTCAAAAGAGCTCTCGAAGATCTAACGATATTCCATGAAATTGAGTGAAAATTGACTAAAAAATTTAGAAAGTTACTGCCACTTTTTTGAACAAGTTTGAATTTCAAGTCATCTCAAATTTATACCACGTATGTACAAGCCCTTATATAAGTTTATCTTACTTTTGACTTGCATTATTCAAAATTATACACAATAGTGTTTGTTTCTAGCGGGAAATAATCAGGCGGCCATTACTAGACGCGAGTCATTGACACAGAAGTAGGTCCTTAATAACGAGAGAAGAGCGTTCGCTCGTGCCTACCGGTTAGCATTTTGCAAAAGGTGTATCTCAAGATCGATCGCGGGAACGTGGACGTGGACATAAACGTGTGTCGTAACTCCTAGTGCAAACGAGGAAAATCCGTGTACCAAGCTTCGCCTTTTCCTGCATAGATTACGTTTGCCGTATAGGTTATGGCTGGACGTCGTTTCTTATAAACAGTCGTCGGTCAATAAATCATAACCACAATGACAATTGGTTCGGAATTCATCAGGCATCTGGTGAAATCAGGAAAACGAGGAAAGGGTATGAATGAGAATTGAAATTTATCGCGTGCGTTGTGTCGCAACAAGTTCTTCACGTTAGATTTCGTATATCTATATTTCGTACATAACGGACATGGGTGGTGCAATGTAAGACTTCTTCGTCGGCCTTACATAAATATATGTATTGATTCTATTAATTTTTAACCGTCGTGCGTAAATGCGTGCACGAGTACGGACGTACTGATGTCTAGGTTTAAATCATCACTTCGTCCTAAAGAATTGTGTAGAATCCAAAATGCCAGCAGTTATGGGTATGTACAAGAAAGTCCTTTGCATTACGAAGAACGAGAAGAGCTATTTGTTTCATTAACTATTTTTCTCTTACTAGAAATAAGGACCATGTTCGTACGTGCAAGGTTAGGTAGTACTTGAATATGTATACAGTACACACGATATACGCAAAGTCATATAGTACAACTTCGATTCGGCCACTGTTCCGTTACGTGGACATATACGATGTATCCCTCTTGGTATTCGCGTAATCTCGATGCTCTCATGCACGTTAGATGAGAGCCGTTCTTATCAAAGTTTGTTGACCCGCTGCCACGTGGAATAGCACGTGCAAACACAGCAAGATTTCACGAGGAACATCCAGGCTTGGTTTTCCCACTTTCTGCGTCAACGTAACGGGCTATTTGGTTATCCTGGTGTACCAAGAGGTTGTCTAAGGTAAGAAAATAGTGTGGAAGTCTGATAAGAAGGTAACAAAAATCTTGATATGTAACAGGTTCCTGTAGAAATGAGGTAAAATAGGTAAAGGAACTAAAGATCCATGGCCGTATTGATCCTCGCAAGAAGGACGCGTATCTTAGAGGCGTCTAGTAAGAGAGGACAAAGAAAAGGAGGGAGGCGTTGTTCTTGCTCTTCCAAGAACTCCGGCTAGAATTTAGGCTATGAGGAGCTCCTGCCGAATCTGGAACAGCTCGGTCATTGGCCCCACGTTCAATTCCTTCCTTAAGATTTTCTCTCCCACTTCATCATCATCATCATCATCATCATCAGGCTCAGTTTTATCTAACGCACATATCTAACGTCTTCACGGCGAATGAGCCCCCCAGCAGTCTGCTGGACTCCTCGTTATTGCTAATTTATCGTCCCTTACGTATCATCCGCTCCGATCCGTAAGTTTACCTGGCAGCCCCTTCACTCGGCAGTTCATGCGAATCTTGTAATCCTGCGATCGTGCGACCTGCACGATCCTCTCTTTGCCAACTCAGGGGAATAAAAAAAGCCTCTCTTGAACTGCATACACGTGATACAAAAATATACAATCAAGTATGTGGATATACATGAACTACGTAGAGGTACCAGTACGTGAAGGTTGTTACTTCCTTGAGGTGTGGAGCTCGAAAGTGGTTGTCCAGGTTGACTGGTGTACCCAGGTGTACTGATGCTTTTTCGGCGGGAAGAGAAAGGGTAAGGCAGAGTATCCTTTCCCCTGGAGTCTACCTGTAATGATTGCAATTTTAAAGATATTTTTGTATAAATTTACATGAAGATTTATATCACCAGGTGCGGTCGGTGGACGAGACTCTATACCTGGTGCTAATGATAGCCAAACATGCAGTCATTTATGAAGACTGAAAATTTTGCATGGCCGGATCACGTCCAGATGAAACGAGAACCATAGACCTTTCTTCTTGGCTCCTTTGCTTAGCTGAAATTCAAAAAGACGATCTATCAGGCTTGGTGAACATAGCTCACGATCGGCCCAACGTCAACGACCGCATTTGCTCCGATTTTTTTCATCGAGCTGCGCATTGTTCGATTTCACGGAGTTTTTCAAAGAATTCCATACCGATGAGGTGAGCTTGATTAAATACGAGGATGATCCTCTGGCGTTATCTGGAGCAGATGTTTCTCTCTTTTTTTCTCTTTATTCTCGCTATACCTCAACGGTAGCTTCATTCTTTACAATCCGCACCTTCTTTCCCTTCGGTATCTTTTTTTTTTAACTCTATTTCTTTTTATTTCGTAAACTTCTTGTCATTGTCATTTTCTGCTCTCGATACACCAAAGACACCTTCCTTCCGTGACGGAGCTTCCTGTTCGACTCTGATTTATCTCGTCGTCCTCTACTTCTTTCAATTTCAGGGTTGTCCATGTTTATGCTGGTACGAAAAAATCTTCAGGGTACGAACCACTGCATCCTAATGATACTAAGATAACGCTGATGGGTCACATATACTCGCCTGTCGGCTTTCGGCTGCCGAATTATATTGACCCACATGCGATCTCCCCAGGCGTCCAAATACCAGAGAGTGCGGACGCCTGCCTTGAGGCGTTCGGATATTCTTTGCTTCAAGCTGATCCAGCCAATGCTTCTTCTACCACGTACACTGCGAATCGGATAACCAGTGCTACGATCTTCAGAAGAGCGACATCTACGACATTGTACCACAGCTTTGTAATCTTGTAAATTATTATTCTGAACAGGTAAACTCTATTATCTAGTAGATACGTTCCTTGCCATTTAGCCAGGAACACCTTCCGGAAGGAATTTAAACATTCGTTAGGATGATAACCAGGTCGATTTGCCTATCTTAGAAACCCACTGGAAAATGTGTTCTTCGCAGGATATAAATAGAGGTTCGCAGTTGTTATTTGCAGTATAATTTTTGTGTGCTGATCTTACTTTAAAATACTGTAAGAATGATACTTAGTTGGCTAATTGTATCGTTTACTGGAATCAGTGCCAGTTATCTTGGTTCCCGAGCTGTAAGTCATCGCGGTACTCATGGCAAAGCAATTCCACCAGCGCCACGTTTCGTCGGTGTCTTCAACGACAATTATGATCACGATAAAATCGGTATCTGATACTTTTTCTAGATTGATAATATTTCAAATGAGGAATTAATACCTTATGGGATATTTCTTAACAGCGGAGAGTATTAGATCCTGGACTCCAAAAGATCAGCAGAACGTATGGGAACTCAGCGGCCTTTACGAAGGTGACATTATGCTGCACCCTGACGAACCCGACACGAAAAATGGACTCCTTGATGCAACCGCTAAATGGCCTGGTGGTGTTGTACCTTATTATATCCAGGAAGATGATTTCGGCAAGTGTGACTTATTATACAATCATCTATACAATAGGGTCTTATAAAATAACGGGCGGCCATTTTGTTATTCGTCCGGAAGGCAGACCAGGACGAAATAACGCTGATCAAGAAATCCATCGAGGAATATCACGAAAAGACCTGCCTGAAATTTCGACGTTACAAAGAGACTGACGAGGACTACTTGACTATACAAGGATCACAATCTGGCTGCTGGTCTTTGGTTGGACGTCATGGAAAAGGGCAAGTTCTTAATCTTCAGACTCCTGGTTGCGTCCATCGTGGAGTCGTTGTTCATGAGGTAATGCACGCCTTGGGATTTTATCATCAACAAAGCGCTGCTGATAGGGATGAATGGGTTAAAATACATTGGGACAATATACAAACAGGTGAGACTTCTAAATATTTAGGTTTATATCTTTATGTATAATTGCATGGCTGCCATTTTTGTTCGTAGGCAAGGAACATAATTTCAATAAGTATGACAGTGATACTGTGACTGACTATGGTATTGGATATGATTACAAAAGTATTATGCACTATAGTGCTCATGCATTCTCCAAAAATGGAGAACCTACAATTAGTCCAATTGTAAGTCATTCTCTAGTGATAGTAAAAAAAAAGAAGGTTTAAGGTTGCTTAAGAATGCGTGATTTTGAATTTTTAGAAAGAAAAAGTGGAAATTGGACAACGAAAGGGTCTCAGTGAAAAGGACGTGGCCAAGGTACAGTTTATGTACAAAGAGGAATGCGATACTCGTGAACCCGGAGGAAGCGTTGTCACTAGTACCACTACTACGGATTCTGGAATTCTAGGCTGGATTTTCGATTGACTAACCCGGCGTCTGGAATAAATGATATAGAGATTGAGAAACTTGAGAAAAAGAACTTTTATTAGAATTAACAGATAATCTCCATTTTGAATAAACTCCCTCGTTGTGATATACAGTCTCTCTTTGATCTAATAATTGTACTCGATTAACAGATAACTAATGATCTTCTGTCAACCAGCTGGACTTTGCTGATTGTAATAAAGCAACTGCTTCAACTCGTTCACGGCATCTTCTGCAGCCTACACAAAAGACAAAAATTTCACTCATCCCAATTATTGTTTTAAAAAACTATAACCACTCACATCTCTCACTGTATGACCATCGTCCATAGTTAAAGCTTCCAATAAAGTCCTAAGAGGTCTACCCCATACCTGCTGCAGCGCCCTACAACTGAATCTGCCCAGCAGTCGCAGAAGAGTACAGGTCCTCGCCCTGAGAATACTTTGTCGGTGGGTCAGCAATTTTCCAAACAGCTCAACAGTCACTTCTGTATATTTATATAAGATTGTCAAATTATTAGATAGAACACGGAACACAACCAATGCGGATGCTCACCAGGTGTCTTTGTGCGCAGTACGACTCTCTCGACGAGCTCAGCATTCTCTGGTTGTGATCTAAGGATGTTAATCAAAATTGCTACTAAATCTGCCACCACCCTTGCCTTCCTCTTCTCAAGCGTAAGCAGCTGCTGGAGCAAAGGTATTCCATTGACTATATATACAGCATCACAGAATTGTGTCAGGAACTGTTCCTTCATGTGGACCAAGCGACACAGAACAAGCATAGTGCTTTCCAGGGCTTGAAGCTCATCAGCAGACAGACTAGATGCCGACCTGGTATTAGTATTGGACTCAGCCTCAGAACGTTCAGACATAAGAAGCTTTGTCGCATATACAAGATTAGGTACAACTCGCACGTCCAGATAGACGCGCTCGATCTTTGCAAGATCCTCAGCTGCCAGTGATACGACGAAAGGTAGTGAAAGGAGACAAGCAACGTACTCGACTACTCGACAACCAGCTGCGGAATTTCTTAATGGCGAAACAAACACGGAGACGCAGTTTTGCTGAAGAAGAGAACCAATCTCTCCCTCCATTATTTCCTCCATGGACCGGTGCAAGAAGACAACCCATTCCTCGTTCTCTATCGGGCGCTCTACTGCCTTAGGATCCCAATCAGGTAACCTCACATGCTTCTCCGCCAAATGTCCACCGAATTCCTGTTCATAATCTAGACTTAATCGGGTTTGTACGCAATCGCCTTGCCCTTTACAGGCATCTTCTTCTGGTAGGACTTTCATTCTCTGCTCATTTCTGTTTATGCCATCGCCTCTTGCATTCGCATTTACATTAATGTTCACGTTTGTCGCTATCACGTCTTTTGCCTCCAATCTGTCCCTAACTGGAGGTAATACCAGCTCCTCAGTATCCTCCACATTCTCTTTTATGTGTTCTGCTCGTGGAATCTCTAGAGGTCTCAGAGGTACCGGTCGGATGATGGTTCTGTTAGGACAGTCGCTCCGACATAAAGCATGATCTGCAACTAGGAGGTCGCTTCTTAAAGAAGCACGAAGACTTAAGTTTCCCAGAAGGACATCCACACTGGCACTAGATTCTGTACCGCTGGGCTCGCTGTGACGTAGCGCTTGGCAGTGGTGCATCGTGTGGCCATGTTGACAGTAGCCCTGGTTGGTTGGACAATGTATTTGGGAAATGCACATTCTTTGCTGTTGTTCTCTGAGCTTGCGTTCCTGTTCCTGCACCTTCTGCACTGCCTTTTCCAAGACCCTGTGTCGTCGCAAATTTGTTTTATCGTGGGCCCGCATTTATTAAAGGTTTTTATTTACGCGGCGCGTAAAAAGACATACTTTGAACGTGTAGTCGAGCGCATTGCTAAATTCTGCAACTGTTGTTGTTTCGCTCGCGCTTGACTCGCAGATAATGGAGTCGTGAATGGTGTTGGAACAGCACCACCAACTATCAGGATTCTATCCTTCACAAATGGATGATCAAGCAATTCAGGCCAAGTGAGTCTCTGCAATGGATCCTTTTGCAGTAATCCCTGTAAAGGTTATTTACATATTATTTACTACTGTCATCAAACACTACACTGCTGGAGAAATTCCTTACCTGTAAAAAGCTCTTACAATTTGGTGAAATAAAATCTGGCCACTTGACTGCTTCAAAACGGATCAATCTGACCAAATGCAAAATTGATGTGGTTTGAAATGGTGGTGTACCCACTATCAACTCGTATACTATGCAACCTAGAGACCTGCAAAGAGTATACGGAATTGAGACACGTTTAACCCTTACAATTGGAGTCTGTTTATTGCTCATTATGCATATACCATAAGTCAGCATTATGATCATATGGACATTCTTCAATGAGCTCTGGAGCCATGTACAGTGGTGTTCCCTTAATCGATGTAAGAACATGTGTTCCTGTGCTCATACTACGTGCAAAGCCAAAATCACATAGCTTAGCTACTCCATTAGCTTCCAGCAGTACATTCTGTGGTTTCAGATCTCTGTAATATAAAACTGAACCATTTAATTGTTCTTTTTTTTTATTTCATGAGCACCAACCTATGAAGGACCCTGTTAGAATGTAAATAATACAGAGCTGAAACAAGATCGCAAGCTATCACTTGTGTCCGTTCTTCGGATAGTCTTCCAGCCTTTCCCAATATCTCATACAGTTCCTTGTCAGCATATTCTGTCACCACGACTATCTATCAATAACACATGCATCTCAAAACATAAATATCACTATTGACCAATTAATACTTATTAATCGTATTCTTACTTCATTCTCAGTTTCAAAAGAATCTAGCATCTGCACAATATTAGGATGATGAAGGTGCCGCTGTATCTCACATTCTTGTCTTAAACTCTTCAATTCCTTGAAGGAGCGTCCACGCTATAAATTGAAACGTCGTTGTATCCATTAACGAGACGAAGTTATTTATAAATCAGTTGTTACCACGCAGATGAAGTTGCAGTAATTGCACTTACATGTACTTACTTTTCGAATTACTTTAAAAGCCACAATATCGCCATCAGCGCGTTTCTTCGCTTTGTACACCTGACCAAAGGATCCTTCACCCACTTGACCAAGTACCTCATATTTCTCCATATTTTATGTAATTCTGTATGCAACTACTAATTCTGCACTCTAAGAATTATTTGAAAATTCACAAATTAAAATACACTTGTTGCTTATGTATTACGGCGCATGCGATTCCTATCGTGCAATCGACGCAGTCGCATTCTACGCTATCAAGAACCATGTTGCTGCATTTTGTAAGAACACAGAAGTGCCCAGAAATTTGTGCAATGAAGTTGATAACTTCGTAGTAAAGAACCAGAGAAAGAACGTCCATTAGGTAGGTCGATAAATACAAAATTGTTCACAAGGTAATACTACTTTTATCACCAGGTATTTCAGAATTACCGACGGCTATTTGTGCTAATTGCACAAGTTCTAGGTAGTTAACCTTCTTTATTAACACCTTTACAGTGCTCTTGTGTTTTCCGAAGAGTTTGTATAACACATGTTATGTGAGAAAAGGTGTCTCAAGATGAACAACGAAATAAATTCATTTGCTGATTTAAAATTAAACTCATGGATCGTAACACAGTGTGAATCTATTGGTAAATTGAATTACTTATAAATTCTAACAGTTCTGTCAACTGTTTCATACATTCCTATTTCATATCACAGGTTTGAAGAAACCCACTCAAATTCAGGAGAATTGTATTCCACAAATTTTAAGTGGAAAAGACTGTATTGGTTGTGCTAAAACAGGAAGTGGTAAAACATTAGCTTTCGCACTTCCTATCTTACAGAAACTATGTGAAGATCCATATGGAATATTTGCTCTTATATTAACTCCTACGAGGGAGTTAGCATTCCAGATTGCTGATCAGTTTGCAGTTATTGGAAAAACAATTAATCTGAAGAAATGTGTTATTGTGGGAGGAATGGATATGGTTACTCAAGCTCAAGAATTAGCCAAACATCCGCACATTGTTGTTGCGACCCCTGGACGTCTTGCAGATCATCTTGAAAGTTGTGATACATTTTCACTTCAAAGAATACAATTTCTTGTGCTTGACGAAGCCGATAGATTACTTGGTGGACACTTTGATGAACAAATCAAGACAATATTTCAAGCCTTGCCAAAGAAAAAACAATCTTTGCTTTTTAGTGCTACGATAACGGACACTTTGGACAAAGTGAAAAGTGTTACATCTAATGAAGTTTTTGTATGGGAATCTAAAGATGATTCTGGTATGGCAACAGTTAAGGAATTAGATCAGAGATATGTTTTAGCGCCTAGCGATGTTCGTGATGCCTTTCTAGTAGAAGTAATTAAGATGTTCCAAGAAACAAATGAAAATGGGTCGATTATGGTATTCACAGATACTTGCAAGTATGAACAAATAAGAAGTTTTCTTATTTTCATAAATTTTATATGAAATATAATATCTGCGATTTTTTTTAGACATTGTCAACTATTGTCTGTGATGCTAAATGAAATAAGTTTTACAAATGTAGCACTGCATGCTATGATAAAACAGAGAGAACGTCTGGCAGCATTGAGCAAATTCAAATCAAACCATGTTAAGATTTTAATTGCAACTGACGTTGCCGCCAGAGGTTTGGATATACCATTAGTGGAATTAGTAATTAATCATACAATTCCGAATGTACCAAAAGAGTACATCCATAGAGTTGGTAGAACAGCGAGAGCTGGTAGAGGTGGAATGGCTATAAGTCTTATCACTCCGCATGATATAAAATTACTTCATGCTATCGAAGAAACTATTGGAACTAAACTGACAGAATATAAAGTGGATGGTAAGGATCAAATATTCCATATTTTAGAATTTGTATTTTTTAAATGTTCTTTCATCTCGTTATTTTCTTAATTTCAGATAAGGAAATTGTCACAATATTTACACAAATATCAGTGACAAAACGCGAAGCCGAAATAAAGCTGGACGAAACTGACTTCTACGAGAGAAAAATGATAAATAAGAGAAAAAAGTTAATTATGGAAGGAAAGGATCCTGATGAAGAAGAAAAGGAAATTCTAAAGAGGAGAAAAAAATGTAAAAAACCTAAAAAGACAAAAAGTGCTATGAAAGTGAGTTAATCCTTGATTCGTAATTATTAAATTGGCAATACTGATAATGCACGTATGACATAGTAATAATGAATATAAATTACCATGTAGTATGAAGCATTTTGTACAATTTTGTATGATAAATGTTTAATAATCTTGTTGGCTATAACTCATCAATAAATGTAATATTTGTCCATACTTTTTTTATTTCGTAGAACGAAAATCACATTGCAGTATCATATAAATTATTATTCGTTAGCGTACCCATAGATACCAAACAATAAATCAATTTTTTTTTAAATTACAATAACACAGAGTCCATTGAAAAAATTAATATTAAAGTCACATTATAGTGTATCCAACGTAGTGATCATATTATAGAAAATTTCTTAGATATTTAATATCAAAATATATTATTTCCTAGGTACTTTTTAATTCGTATTAAAAGTAATGCAAGGTATAAACTCTAAAGTCACAGTCACTGACACAATTATACTAATAATAATTTTTTTCCCTAAAAGACTTTCGCTAGCAGATGTCATAATTATCCATGATTAGGCACTTGTGATACATCAACGTAACCTAACAAATAAATTTCTAGTATGAAAAACAGTTATTTGAAAAGGTCTCATTCCGCTTGTAGAATTTTAATGGTGACTAATATTAACTATGTATGACAGAATAAAAACATTATGCATTTGGCTGTATCGTTAACCAATATATCTACTGTATTGGTATATCTTATAAATGCGTATAGAAGATATATAAAGAGTACATTCGTCAAATTAGGAATAACATGATAAAACTGAAGTTCGTGTTAGAAAAATTATTTATGCTTCGATTTATATACTAAAATGATTTTAGATTATTAAACTTGATATTTTTAACTCGACAATTGCTAGAGAGTTAGTATCTAAATTTATTGGCAATATGACAATAACTTGCATTGTAAAATAAAAAGAATCTCACTTTTTTGGTTTTTAAGATACTTTCAGCAGATATATGAAAATTTTCGAAAATCGAAAATAAATACAGTTATTTCAGAGACGAGCTCGGACTTTTTCCTCATCCTGTATTAAGTGTAGCCTATCGAGGAATTTGTATAGTTCGGCAATATATTCTTTGGGATGTTTTTGGAAGTGGCCAACGTGGGAAGACCCTTCGAATATCTTTACATAAGTCTGTGAAAATAAAAATTGTTATGTGACAATAGTATTTTTTTATTATTATCAACTACTTATATTATTATTATTAACTTACTTCCACGCCCAATGAATCCCAAGAGTTTCGTACTCTCATGTTGCTCTCCACTGTTCCAACTGGATCTGTTTTACTGACCAAAAACAGAGCTGGACTACGAACAAGATTTGTGTGGTAAAGCTGGCTGGATCGGATGTAATATTGTGTTGCTTGCTTATAAAAGGTTTTCATATGGTAACTGTAATTTTAATAAATGCTTATAAAGCAAATCTCTTGGAGATATTTAAAAATGTCATTAACGCATGAAATCTTTTACACATACTCTAAATATTTTTGCAAAGCTGTCTGTAACATAACATTGTTAGGAAAAACAGCCCGACCCACTCCAATTTGAAGTTCAGCCACATCAACTGCACTATCCCATATGTGTCCAACAATACGATCTATCACATTGTCATACTTTTTTCGATCCATGTGTATAAAGTCTAAGACTTCTCCCCACATATAACCACCCACAGAGAATCCATGGAGTAATATTTGTTCATATCCCTTATTTTGTTCCAAAAATTTAAGCAAGTCCAGTGCAACCAACTGAAAGATTGAAAAATATTGAGAATAATACTCAAGAGTACTACAGGACATAGCGGTACTTACACGAGAACCTTTAACAGGCCATATGAGTTGCCATGGACTAATAGAAACCATAACAACATCGAATCCTTGCTCCATGTAAAAGCTGGCATATTTCATCATATGTTTACGCTTTGACATCATCCAGCACAATAAAACTAAAAGTGGGCGATCTTGTGGACTATTCAGATTCTGAACAACGTTATTATTAATTTTCACTTGATTGTCTTGCGAGATGAGCTCAATGTTCTTTGTAATATGATGAGCAGATATAAATCGGCAAGCTGCTACATGAGCATACTAAAAGGAAATAATTTAAGTATTTACAAAAACCTCTCGCTTGATATATTCCCATTAAAATGCTTTTCCTATACTCAAGCATGAAATTTGTAACAAACATATTTCAGTACCAAGTTCTGTTTCTTTGCCAACAACTGAGGCCGAAAATGCTGCCTAATCTGGCTCTTCCCCATCAAAGACGTTGCAATCCTTGTTATCATCATCGTGGCTATTTTGTTCCCACGCACACGGATTGCTTAAAATCTAAACTAAAAAGAATATATTTAAATTTATAATTATTTGCAATAAAAATAGCTTCTTAGTAATACAAAAAAATACCATTCCAAAAATACTTGCAAAGCAATATTATTATCACCAGGGTCAAACTTTTGCGGGCACTAGGTACAAAGTTCAATTGAACTGCACACATACATTTTATGCAACTGTACTTACAATTTAACTTTGCAAGTGACTAACAGCAACAATACCGTTCCAACTTATAATTAAGTCGAATGCTCAAGATCTACAATAACGCAATAATTTCTCCAGTCCACGAGCAAAAAATTACTTAATGCGTTTCGCAGTCTTAACAAAGACCAAATACAATTGATTATTGTAGTGTTCTAATACTTCGTACCTTTATTATCTCACTCGATGATCTTTAACAATGCGTTTCCAATATTTGATAACAATTATAAAGTGTTAAGCTGCCAGACTATCACACAATCAGATAACTACCAGACAGCTAAGCCTTCGGACTCTCACAATATTCTTCGCCCCACTATCTTTTCACATGTCTTTCCAGCTGCGTTCAAATAGAGAACAGCATACAAAATTAAGCATTTATGACTCTTCGTGTAGACAGTATACAGGGTAGTCAGTAAAAACGCACCGTCAGAAGTTGGCCGCAAGTGGCCGACACGGCAGTGTGGCCTCTTGAAAAAATGACATGTGACTGTGACCGATTCCCATAAACGCACACTGACAGTTCGCATAGCAATAAGGTTATTGAAATATGTCAATAGTTAGGTTACTGAAGTAATTAATTAATATTGTAATGACAAAATGTGATGTCAGTTAAGATTTATTTTCACAACAGATTGCAATTAAAATAATGTAAAGTTTAAAATATTCACAATTTTGATATTTCCAACTAATGATCACAACTGCAATTCTGCAATACAATGCTGCAATTAATTTAAAAATCAATTAATTAAAATGTTTTTATAGCAAAAAAAAGCAGGAAAAAATCTGTATATACATATAATGACGCATGCACAGGTCACATATACCGTTGTGAAAATTTAAACAAATCAATGATTATCCTAGACCAAATTACATCCGTATAATTTGTATATTCACCTTTAATTAGCATGCATTAGACTTGCATAGAATTATATAAATATACTTGGTACCGTATTGCATAATTTAATGATTCAATTAATATCATTGTATTCTGGTTATCTGTGGAGTTAGTCGAATTCTTACATATGTATTCTGCGATCACGAAACCTACACGTGATTGCTGTGAAAAAAAAACCTATGTGAATAATGTTAAGTTTATTAGGCGATTTACATATTGAATACCCTTGATGAATCTTTTTGTAGTATTACATATTTAAATTAATATTTTATTTGTATGACGATACTGTACATACTTAGTCATAAATAACTTATAACAGACACTTCAATGGCTTATAATAAAGCTTAAACTTTGTATAGGTAAGACAATAATCTAATCAGCAGATACAAAAAAAGAAACAGAAAAAACTCTTCTACGATGTGCCAAAGTTCAACATATTTGAGTTAACTAATAATGAAATTCGTACGCGTTTTGCGTTGCATTTTTAATATCGTAATAGTACTTTGCGATACGAGTGCGAGAAAGCGAACTTTATAGGCAGGCGGTGAAGTTGGTCGCACAGCCGCACACGAGTAACACAACAGCACGAGCCGAAGGCGAGTACTGTTTGTTTTACGAGTGCGGCGAGTGTGACAAACTTCACGACCTGCGTATAATGTTCGCTTTATTGTACCAGTATCGCATAATATTTTCTGTAACGAATGTATGAAAAACGCTACTTTTTGTGCCTCCAAAGTTACTGGAACATCTCTTCATTGGAGAAGGCAGCCATAAGAAGAGCAAGGAAGGCTTCCAAAGTCAATGCATTTCATGACAGCGCGCGAGAACAAAGTGTATTTTATCGCGCTAGTGCGAGAAGAAAGCACTAGTGCGATAATGTAAAATTGGGCCGATTTGCGCATGCGCAGCATTTTTATCGTATCCTTAGTTATAAAGCGCCACTTTCGCCACACTTTGGAGGCACGAAAAGTAGCGTTTTTCATGCATGAGTTACATAAATCTATTATCATGTAATATTTAATTACAAACAATTGATATTGCGTTCATCTGCCTTGTATGGATCATAGTAACATGGTTTCAGTATATTTGATTATTCACAGTCGATAGGATTTTGTTTCATCTGCAATATCAATTTTTAATTAATTTGAATTTGATGAAGAATTGCGTTCCTGTTACTATGTTCAGTCATTTAAATCCCCCAAAAAACACTTACGTGTAAAAACTACGCCAAGTATAGGAGTGCTGTGTATTCCTCTAATAAAAAGTATTGATATCAGATTACGGAGGCCAAGTACATAAGTCACTACATGTTTGCCTATTATATGATTTAGCACTGGCCCATCATTTTAATTGTATTTTCAAAATTTCTTATAACGTTTTCACTACTCTTTTACATTACTACTGCTTCCCGTAGTTGATTATGATTTAATGGTCATTTAATAATTACTAAAACTGTAGATAATTCCTTATCGAGTACTACTTGGCGGGTCACACTACGGAAATTATTAAGTTAAATCTTGTACTGTCAATAAACAATATGAATGCAAATTCGTTGTATAACATTTTTTATTAAAAAAACAATAGCTGCTATGTCTACAAACTACTCACGATCCTCTTTAACTTTATTATACCCTCTGCGTAGCTGCCTTTTCAACTCTTGCTTTTTTTGGTTTATTCCAAACTCTAATACCAAATCTGATAGTTTTTTAGACACTTCATCTATGTTTTTTAATATATTATCATCATCATTCTGTCCATCTTCGGTTCGATATACATTCTGTACAACAGCATCTTGTTGTTGCAGTTGCTGTAAAACCGAACCATCTGTTAACACTAATACCAAATCTAATAGTTTATTAGACACTTCATCTATGTTTCTAAATATATCATCATCATCATTCTGTCTATCTTCAGTTTGATGTACATTCTGTACATTATATTGATGTTGTGGTTGCTGTAAAAGCAACCCATCTGTTGAAAATAGTTGTGGGCACACTTCCTTATCAAGAACAACTTCATTGTCACTTTCATTTCTTGAATTGTCACTCTCATATTTATAAAATGGAGACTCCCGACCAGAAACCTGCCTCTTTCTTCTTCGCCTTGGCGTATGTAATCGAACAGGGCTTGTCTGTATCATAAAACGTTGTCGTCTTCAAAATAGAGCCAAAGTTTATAATTTAAGAAATCAAGAGGAAGCCTACTTACTGCACTATCGTCATCACAGCATATAGCACAAAAACAAGAGGTTGCGTGTGGTTTCAAGATTTCTTCATCAATTAATTTTTCCAAATTCCTTCCTCCGAATCGTATGCTTTTTGTCCAATCATTAGTAGACGCTCTGCCACATAACGCCTTGAATTCAATCGGAGTATACCAATTTTGGCCTACTTTTATAGAGCGGCCTCTACCTCCAGAGCCAAATCTTCTTTTATGTAATTCAGCATTGGTGGTGTTGCACCTGACTGGTAAAACGGCCATATTTGCGGCAGATACGTTAGTCTGATCAGATTGACCTTCATCTTCGCTACTTTCAATCAATATTTTGGGGGGTATCAGCTCTCCATGACAAGGAACTGCGTCCGTATCTTTGTCTGCAGATAATATTTGGTTCGATTGTCCTGAACCAGGTAGCTGCAAAAGAAGTTTTCGTTGGTATATTTCAAAGTACGAATAGAACGACGACGATTACTTAAGTAAAATGTTCAAAGTCGAGAGTTCACCTTCACCTGGTCGGACGTGATAACATTGTAGGTCGTACCCTCGGTCTTGTATACAGGTCTGAGCAGTTAGGCGAAAAACGTGCTAGCATCGGTTAGCTGCGCTATGTCAGCCATAGGTCAGCAAGCTTCTTCGACATTATGTTTTGCGGACAAAACCGGCAACATTAGCGGTTACAAGCTAGAACGTGTTGATGATAGGGAAACCTGTATACAAGACCGTGGTCGTACCATTGCTCGAATTAGCAACTCCAATTATTGAACCTACCGATAGAGAACACGATACCGCAGTACCGGGAACATTCGTTGATGGTTTCAGCATCTCTTCTTTAACACAAGAAGAAACTGTAATGGGAAAATTTTGAAAAATCGGGTCTTATATCGTATCGAGTAACAGTTCGAAAATGTGCCACGAGTGGCACTGAAGCTATTTCCCTCCTTCCTTCCTTTCTTTGTTTACACCAGCAAATCACGGATCGTTGTTAGTTTTCCGATAGATAATAGAACGGAATTGTGGGTTCACGATTGGTTGTTTAAGTTACGCGGTACACAAGGTACCATAGATATAGAAAAGTCATAAATGTAGCATAAACTGATATTTTAGGCAAGGGGTGTGTGGGAACATGAGGGTTGGGGGGGAGTTCGCTGCATAACCAATCAAAGTCAAGCTGACTCCTTCCTTATTATGCCTTAACATGATTGGTTCTCTGCATCATCTCTTTTACAACACTGCGCTTGCTTCCAACAGTAACCAATGACAAGTAGGCTCAGTGTAACTCGGCCCCCTCCCTGGACGGCTGCCCCCACAGGGTTATGCTACATCTACAGAGATCTATGCTTTTCTATATCTATGCAAAGTACGCTCCATGGGGAATCAGTCTGACCATCAAGGGACTAGTTGAAAAAAATTCCCAAGCCAAATTTGTTTTTATACGCTTATATAAACAAATAACCGTCAAACGTTTAGCATAATCCACCAATCACTGACAAACGATCAACAAACGATAGCGAAAAAAATTAGTTCGATCGGTCGCGATGAGGGGCTAGAAGCTCGTAACCAGAGTTTAAACTTCGATTAACGTCTTTGGAAAGGGTCATTATAGCAGGCATTAGTAATACAAATGGTTTGAATAGGTCTCTTAAAGTTCCCGCCTTTATTTTATTCAAGTTTTTAGATTACTTTATTTACCATGGCTTATGATAATAAACACAAGGCATTGTTACAACAAATTATAGAGAAAGGTGTGATGCTTAATGAAGAGGCACAAAGATTAACTGTCAAATTGTTTGGTAGGTAACCTTTATCATTTCAATGTACTGGATGATGCACTTACTCAAAGTTTCATTCTATTTCAGATAATGACAACGTCCTATTATTTGCTAATGTTTTAAACTCAAAGCTGCAAACTCTGAATATGGAAGTAAAGTCTGTGACTTGTGAACTGAGTGGAGATAAATATTGGATGCTGAGTAGTACCGTGCAATACGACGTGGCCAAGTATAATTGCTGATTCGTTTGAATTAAACCATGATTTTTGAGTGGCTATTTTTTCAGATGTCAAACTGAATTCTCTCCTGGAGAACTACAACTATTGAGAAAAATATTTACTATAATCATTGAATCTGATACTGGTAGTGTATCAAGTATAAATTGTCTAAATCTCTGCAGTTCCTTAAAGTCAGAGTTAAGTATATCTAATGCTCAAGACTTTTTAACGAAGATGGTGGAACTGAAGTACTTATTCTTGAAGGTAATGTATTGATTATATTGTAATGACAATGTTAAATAACTTTGATTTACATATAATTATCAATCATATGCCAATAAATTTGACTTTCAGGATGGAATTTTTTTTATGGGTGTACGGAGCATCGGTGAACTGATGCCTTATTTCCGAGCATATTATGAGCAAGACACGTTTCATACTTGTTTTCTTTGCAAACAAGTTATCTTTCATGTAAGGCGAACATAACATTAAATATGTACCTATATTAATGTTTTCTATAATTTTGTTTTGTTCAATAGGGTAATAAATGCGCTCACTGTGATGTTACATTGCACTTGTATTGTTTAGAGAATTTTGGCCGCCTGCATAATCCAACGAAATGTCCCAATTGTAAGCAACCGATGTCAATCGGTAACTCATCAGGTATAATCATACTTTATTTAGCCAAATTAACTAAATGTGAAAAGTAAAACAACTATTATATAATCTAGATCAAGATATAGTAGATGAAGGTGCCACTACTCTATTTACACAAGAAAGTACCTCAAGGAAAAGATCTACTCGTAAACGACCACATACATCACGTTAAGAATGTAAGGGCTTATTTTATTTTATTAATATTCTACGTTTTAATTAAAACAGTGGCAAATTGACATTCAAGACTAATTTAAAACAAGAAGTAAACACTTTTATTATTTACATATTTTACAACTTAGATTAACAAATCTCAATAATTAATCATACTTTGATTTTAAGTATATTATCCAAATCTTTCACCATCACGTTTTCTTTTTTCCTTCAAATACTTCTCTCAAGTATTTAAGTCCTGCAGCGATTGTTTCTGGATTTATGTTTTTCTCAGAGTTGTGATCCTCTTCTGTGCCGATATGGTGATTTTCATTATTCATACTTAATGTAGTTATGGAAGGTGGTATAGTATGAAGTATGTTTGATAGTGTCACTTGAGAATATTCAATAGCACTAGGTGGTGGAACTGGTAATGGTATTTCCTGTAAGAATTCCTGAGAATTTATAGGCTGCACTGTACTCTGTGTGATGTTGTATGGAACTGTGTATGTTTCTGATGGATCAGATGAATTCAAAGGCTTCATATGTCCATTCACTAATTGTTGAATTTCCATACTTACAGGACTAATGTTTAGACAAGGAATACTTGGAGGTGGTGATAGATATGCTCCTGGTAGAGGCATCATTAGACTTTCTGATGAATCAGGATGTCCAGATTGTTCTGAATTGAAGTAATTCACTGGTATATTCTTGGATACTATGTTTTGAATTTGTTGATCTATCATAGTAGCTGGTAAAGGTCCTATGATATCGGAATTGTTTGTATCAGATTGTTCATCGGAATCTGTGTGAGCATCCGAGTTTGGTACAATAGGCTGCGGGATACTTTGTTCTATAGAAATATTATGGGGACCAGGAATTTTCATTTCACTTTTAATATTTGGTGATATGGAACGTGTATCGGCACCAACAGTCTCAACAATATCATTAATATTGTCTATGTCGTTAATTTCTTTTTCTCGTTTACCTTCCAAATAACCTGCACTCTTAAACATTTTATAAGAAGGAGCAAATTCATCGAGTCTATCTTTTCTACGCATATTCACCCATTCTTCTTGTGACATTTCATACCAATGAGTTCTTTTTCCAAGTAATTCACCAAAAGCTTTTATTTTATTCTCAATGGTTATAAGACTATCTTCTTCTACATCACGTTTATTTGAATTATCCTTTGTATCTACATTTTTCTTTTCATCATCATTATTTTCAGTATTCGCCACACTTGTAGTTTCATTTTTATCATTAGCTTTTTTCTCAGCAAGCTCCTGCTTAGTTTCCTCTTCAGTAGGCTCAGCTGGTAAACCAGCTCTGATTCTTTGCCGAATTCTTGCCACTTTCAGCCTATTTACCTCCATCTTATTTCTAAGTTCCTTCATCTCCTGCATTTCCTTTTGTTTTTGCATTGTTTCTTTCCTCAATTTAGTCAAATTTTCTTGTTGCTTTGCTCTTTGCTCCTCATCTTGAGAAAATGCATAATAGCCAACACCGTGAGCTCGAGCTTCATCGAACAAAACATCTTGATAATGTATATCTGTTTTATCTGCTAGTTTTTCTGTCTGTTCTTCCCATTTTCTTCTCATTATTTCAATCTCAGGTTCTGTTTCTTGCACTACTATATTGCTGTATGGCTGTTCTTGTTCCTTCTTTGAATCTGTCTCATTATGAGGTTTTTTCATAACAGCATCTTTAACAAGTTCATCCTTGTCTCGCATTTGTTGTAAATCTCGACGTAGACACTTTCTGGTACGCCCAAAACAATCTTCATATTCAATCCAATCATCCTCTGGATCTGAAGTTCTCTCGTCATAATCATCTTGATTGATAGGATCCTCTTCAGATTCGTCAGATTTGTTTGAGAAATCCACAAGGAATAGTGGGTTAGTATTGTTTCGATTCTTCTTTAATCGTTCGTATAATCGTGATTTCGCTTCCAACATTAATTTAGACTTTTTATGTGCATTAATATCATCAATATCAATAATCAAATCATTAGATTTCTCGGGTTTCTCTTCCTTAACCTTTTTTGTCCTAACCTTTGGTTGTTTTGTTATTGTTCGCACAGTTTCATTTTTCGCTTTTGCATCATTTACCTCTGTCTGTTTACGCAAAAGCTCAGCTTTTAAACCAACCAATGATGAAAAATTAACGTTTATTTTCTTTGAAGCATTCATCCTCACTCTTATTTTACTTTTTATCTATTTACCCCTGACGACATTTATAGCAATCACAAGAATACAGTAGGTTATGTTAAAAATCTGCCATCTTGAAATTCACCTCATTTGAACGGCAAAAAATATGATTTTCGCGCCATTCAAAAGAGCGACTTTCATGGATTCTAAAAATTCTAATAGTAAAATAAAGCAATATTCATTTTACGTTACCACGTTATTTTTACCATAGGAACGAAGAAAACCATTGCAAAGTCTTTGAAAAATCATCAGAATCTTCTCAGAATCTTCTGTAATGAAAGAAGACGAACAAGAAATTCAAATTATCAAACCGCAAAACAGTTACTTGAGTCGTTTATTGTGATACCCTAATTCATAAAAATAACAATGACAATGTACTTTTTTTTTTCATAAATATCACCACGATCGGCTTGCGAAAGGAATAACATTAGATAGAATTAGTCCGAAGTTTGCAAACGCCGTCCGCATTCACATTAAGATTATATATGTCAAATCGTTACAAGTTTTGCTACGACGCAGCTATAATTCGCGATGATATTCGTGGACAAGCATAACGACCTAACGCACAAGTTACGTTCGTAGCCCAACACCACGTAGCCATTTCCATTTTATTTTTCTCCTGTACCGATTGCAACGCGTAGTCGTGAACATAAGCGCAAAAAGTATAGTTAGCAAACAATATCGTCCTAATGGCAGTGACGGAAGTTCTGTCCCTGTCTATCGATTTATCAGACTACAAAAAAAAAGAAAGAGAACATACGTTAACAGATATTACATCAATAGACTAGACGACTTCCAATGAATGAACAAACACCGTCCACGGGAGACCTTTAGTATATTTCTCTTTTTTTTCCCTTCATTTTTATATTCATTAAACTCACGTGCTAATTATACAGAAATTAAGATAACCGCGTATCGTAACCCGTCGTTATCATACATAGCGAAGGACTATGGCGTATAACAGGTGGGTATTTTAATACGATACCGATGACTATACTACATGCTATACCTGTCGATACAAACTGAATTTTCAGGGCGACGATTGGCTAGTGTATAAAAAAATAATGTAACAAGATTAATAAATTAGTGAGAATTTCTTTAAGTGCTCTTGTTGTATGGGAAAGGTAAATGCCAAGGATCTCAACATTCGCGATCAGCTTCATCATTGATCGAAGGTACAAAAGTACGCACGAGGTATTCGCGCGATTCTTATTGACAGTTGAAATTCAAATTTTTCGCGAAAACAAATCAAAGATTTTAAAAAAAATCGTTTAACTAGTCACACCATCTCTTATCCCTTTCATTACAATTTACGTTCCGCTGCGAATAAAAATGAAGCTGACATCGATTTCACGAGTCCTTGACAAAACGGGCCGTTATTATTATTATTATTATTATTATTATTATTATTATTATTATTATTATTATTATTATTATTATTATTATTATTATTATTATTATTATTATTATTATTATTATTATTATTATTATTATTATTATTATTATTATTATTATTATTATTATTATTATTATTATTATTATTATTATTATTATTATTATTATTATTATTATTATTATTATTATTATTATTATTATTATTATTATTATTATTATTATTATTATTATTATTATTATTATTATTATAATCGCAATATTGAAACAGAGTAGTATTATATATATCACAAACGTATCGGGGTGCCGACTACGGCACACCACCCCGCAAGAGAACCTACGTCATATTAATATTTAAGTCTAGTTTATATTACATCGCCGTCATTGTAGTTAAATAATAATTTGTATAAGAGTCAATTACGATCTATTGCACAACCGAGGGAAGATTGCCAATTAAAGATATACATCGATATATTCGCACAATTTTTTGATCGAAACAATAAGCGCTCGATTTTGTTCCAGGGAAAAGTTTTGGGATTTCAAAACTGACCGGAAGGGCAGGGTCGTACCCCTACCTCCTTACACCCAGGGCAATGTCGTCATCTTCTCCCAAACATCCCCCGCGCATCGACTGTTTTAATTTAGTACTAATTTATATTTCGAGATTTCGTGCTTTTGCTTAATAGCGTTATTGCGTATCCCTTTGGATATTCGCTCAGTATATATTCAATCGCTCTGGCCGCAGACAAAACGCGTTGATATTTTAAAGAATATTGTTTTACAATTTTTATAACTTACGCAGAATTATAAATTATCATTTTTTCATTATCGTATTCTAAAGACAGTCGCACTGATTTCCATTAATTTTTTTATCTTACATCGAATCCCTCCATCTTGAGTCATTTGAAGAAAATCAGAATCGTGTACTGACTTGGACCACATTGTCCTTCTAGTAAATTTTTACGGCTTTCTTTTGGACGATACGCTCCAAGCGAATTCTTTATAGTAACTCTATATGCTCTCGAGAAGAATGTCCTTGCGCAATTTTATGAAATCTTCATTGAGTGACAAAGCATGATATATTACAAGGTAGTATAGAATACTGTTATGAAATTCTTATGTCAGCCCTATATACAATTCTTTCATGATATCTGTTCACGCAATTGTGAATAATGGTATAGTAGTAGTAGTAGCAATAATAATAATAATAATAATAATAATAATAATAATAATAATAATAATAATAATAATAATAATAATAATAATAATAATAATAATAATAATAATAATAATAATAATAATAATAATAATAATAATAATAATAATAATAATAATAATAATAATAATAATAATAATAATAATAATAATAATAATAATGATGATGATGATGATGGATGATGATGATGATGATGATGATGATGATGATGATGATGATGATGATGATGATGATGATGATGATGATGATGATGATGATGATGATGATGATGATGATGATGATGATGATGATGATGATGATGATGATGATAATAATAATAATGATAACAATCAATTGTTTATGAAGATGATGATAGTGATGATGCTGATGATGACGACGACGACGATGATGATGATGATCATGATGATGATGATGATGATAATAATAATAATAATCGCTAACTAATATTTAGCTAATTTTATTATTTCGTAATAACTATTTTACATAGTCTGTGTATGGATTTTTCATTTAATGAAGAAGAGAGAAAGAGAGAGGGAAGGACGATTAACTTTATAAGTTTCTGCGTGATTAGGTAAACGCTAATGCGGTTCAATGCCTGCGAGCCAATAATTGCATTTAGTGTGAAATTTTCAATTGAAGCTCATTTCAAAGACCTTTCGTGCCTGATGGATGTTAATGAAATTAAAAGATCAACATTCAGAATTGAAACTGTATTATTTCTACGCTCTGATTCACTTCGACGATTAGAATGACGATTATGAACATCAAACTCCTACAGAGGAGTAATTGCTAAGTCATT